GAGTTCATAACCCAAGATGCCCTCTCTAGAATAGGACAATATACTTCACTATAAACAAAAGCAAAAATGGCCAGGACAGAAGTCTTCCCAAGCACAAAAATGATTTTTTAACCAATCAACTGACTGGTAAAATATCAGCTATCACTGACAGCTCTAGAGAATTAGACATTAATTCTAACCTTCGCAACTGGTACTCAGAAGACATAATTAACGACAAACTAAGAAAGGAAATACATGAACTAAGATTTCTTGACATTCCATGGCAATGCTGATTAATTGTTTTAATGGTTTGGCCACATGGATACTTTAATTAAAGCTCACTGGCAATAAAACCCACAAACCCAAATGGGTCTTGAAGCCAGATTGTAATGGGGAATGCACACCTGAAAGAGGCTTATCAAGTGCATCTCCCTCAGGTGGGGCCATGCAAACAATTATAAACAGTTGCTATAAAAATAGTAACTCCCTACCAAAAAGAGCAGTAAGTCTTACTGCAGAGACTACAAGAAACTGGGCTGACAAAAGCAATAAAAGTCTCAGTCCGAGGAAGAAAACAAGTAAGTAATGAATAGCAAAGAGGTCTTCTCTGTTGCTTAAGAGTACCACACTATCCTTTGGCTCTGTGTTATTTCAGCTTCTTAGAGCATACTTAATAATTTGAAAATCCTGGAGAAACCCTTACATTGTATCTGCATGAGGAAATCTGGTGGTATGTGGCCTGCTATTTCCCACTGATTATTACAGTGCAAATTACAGACACCTAACACCTTGGTTTGGAAAAAACATACCCAAACAACAAAACCTAGCAATTTTGGAAGATAGACATTAGGAGAAACTGGATGGAACACTTAATGTCCTAAGTGGAGTCTTCACAAATGTGCCAGTAGTCATTTGGAGCTGCTTACACACCTGAACCGTGCAGGGAAAGAAAATGAAAAGATCTTATCCTCGGAGTTTTAATCCAAGACTTGAAGCAAAGCCCTGGAGGAGCCCTACCTTTTTGTGGGGAATGAGCTCGATGCAGGCCTGGTACACCTGCCTGGTTCGCTCCGCATCCTGCAAGAACAGGCAACAGAAATACTCTGTCACTGCTAAGGTTATGCATGACTGCAAAACTGCAGAAGTCAAGCTGTTTAGAACTGTGTATCATTGAGGTGTAAACATCCTTACTTACTTAATGTGCACAATTCAAAGGTGGTGACTTCTGAGAACCAGTATGAGTCATCTTTTCAAAATAATAGAATCATGGAATGGTTTGGGTTGGAAAGGACCTTAAGATCATCTAGTTCCAACCCCCCTGCCATGAGCAGGGACACCACACACTAAACTATGTCGCCCAAGGCTCTGTCCAGCCTGGCCTTGAACAACTCCAGGATTGGAGCAAATAAGATTCAACACTAAAAAACAGACAATGAAAACAGGAGTGTTCCTGTTTTCTAGGGGAAAGCGTCTTTTTTTCCTTTAACAAACATTTCATACTGCACTCCAACTTTATAAAATAAAGAGCAGCTCTAATGTTGCTTGACTGGTAACACGAAATACTTGCACAGCCTCAAAACACCCCTATAGCAAGAGTTTGATTCTTCAACTTCACAGATAGCTTTGTTAAGCAAAAAACTTTCACAAGCTCAGGAACACGCAATTCAGATGGGGCTAGAAAGACCTACTTCTGCTTTTACTATCAACGTGTTTCTGGATGAATTGGGGTGAAACTGAAGTATTTTTCCCCCTATATATGCGAGAGGAAAATGAAGGGGAAAACCCCCCCACACTTAAATAGTAAATCCAACAAGTAAGACGTAATATTTTTAGATCTGTTTTCTTACTCAAATATCTGTAGCTATTCAATGTAAGGAAAATACTTGGTGGGAAGGACAGGAAAAAAAAAAAACCCAAACAACTGAGTTCTTACTACTTGCCTTTGCCTCCAGCTCTTCATATAATGCATAGTTAATCCAAAGATAGATGTATCTCTTCCAGTGCCTCTTCTCTTGAACTGGGGGAACGTTGGCGATGGCTCTTTCATACACTTCTCGGACGGTCTCAGCATCTGCATCGCTTTCAACCAACCTCAGGTAGTCAAACCATGCATCATAATTATGTGGATTTGCCTTTCAGAAAGATGGGAGCACAGAATTGGGAAAGAAACTTCAGCAACCAGAAAAAACAGACCCTGTTCCTTTCCTTACGGCTTTCATACAGAATTTCTCCTTCAAAAACAGATGATCGGAATATTAATGCAAACTATCAGTCTCAGGTATGCTTATGTGAGAGCTCTGGGGTTAAAGTGCATTTATTTCTTTATTTTTAGTTTACCTACAAACGTTCTTTAAGTGAAGGCAAATAAACTGAACTGTGAGAATGGAAGAGGAAATGGTGAAATATGTGGTAGGAAGAGGAAATGGTGAAATATGTGGTATTCAGTGAATAGCAGGTAGGTGTGAAACACCCATTTTACACACAGGTGAGGCGTTCTGTAACAGCTACTGTATAACACAAGTGAAGAAGTTAGAAGCTGAAATAGTACTGTACGCCAAGATGACTGTGAAGGGTACTGAGCTCTGAGTTCAATCAAAAACTTTGGCTTTGCAGTCTATGTTGGAATGCAGAAACAAAACAAGCCTTGAATGCAAGTATCGTTCTCCTCCTGGCGGATGGTGTTTTCCCGGACTGAGCATCAAGGGTAACAAGACTCATCAGCCTTCATATCGTGAGACACTCATGTACCTTAAGCAGCACCTGGATGTATGACGATCCCAGTGGATGTTTTAATACATACCTTCACTTCCTCTTCATACTGGAATCTTCTCTTGCTGACAATGATGTCTTCAATTCCTCTTCTATCTCCAAACTTCTTCTCAAATATGGTGTAGTTCTTGAAGAGATTTGAGGCCTCCTGTTTCGGAATTCTATCCAAGGCATACTTGTAGATCACCCTTACTCTTTCAAACTGAAAATATTAAATCATTTGAGTAACATCTACAAAGCAGCTCCTGTCTTCCCCCACAATTTCTCAATGAGCTTTTGGCAGTATTTAATAAATTCAGAATCATAGAATATCTCAACATAAAATTATTTGAGACAGATCTCCCTGAAAAGTCAACTTGGGGCAGGGAGGGGAAATATCTGTAAACATCAAAACCCACCACTGCTTATTCATTTACAGGGTTTGGAATATTTAGGATATATTCAAGAGGTCATGGTTTTGGGTTCACAGAACACTTTCAATTCCTGAATGGCCGGGGCACTTTAAAGAGACCACATGGGAAAAACATGGCTACTTCAGTTTTTGTCATGCAGGCCTACAACCTCTCACAAACCTACAAGTCTGAGGATATGTATTTGATCCAATAACATTGTTCTCAGACTGGCAGATTTGGTGCCCACCTTTCTTAAAACGTATTTCCTTGATGTCACCAAAAGGTAAATAGAAGCTAAGCAAAAAATTGCCTTAACTTAGACTACAACAGCAATATTTCACAAGGTGCTGGAAAAGGAAAGTATTTCAGTGAATGTTAAGTGGCCTTGAGTTTGATATTCAAGAAGGAATCTCGTGGGGGTGGCTGGCATTAGTCTGATGTATTATCAAGGTCTTACTTCTTTCTGGTTCTCCTCAAATTTTGCGAAAGCCACATACAAGTGCTCATCCATATGCTCTTCTCCAAAGAAATCCACTGCCCTCTCATATACCTTCCTTGCGTGAGCAAAGTAACTGTGCTTCTCTTCAAAGCGGGCGTACTTGATCCAGTTCTTAACATCAGGATGCACGATTACAAGTAGAGCTATGTTAAAGAAACAGTGATGGTTGAATTGACATTTCAAATTGCATTCTTCCCAGTGACTGCAGGGTCATAGACCACATGGAACAACTCCCAAGGATGGCAAAGGCAAAAAAAATCCAACCAGGAAGAGGACACAAAACAGCTCTAAGCATGCAAAGGCTTTGTGCCTTCCTGAGAACTTGAAGAAAGTTTAAAAAGGGATAAAAATCAGGCAAGGGTCAGCAAGAAGTTTAAAGAGGAGGAACCTGAAACAAATGATGACTGCAAAAAAGCTGAAAGTATGAGTGCTGTTAAATACACACTGCTGTGGCAGTATGTAAATTTGCTGAATAACTTTGGAGGCATATACTAAACACTTTTAACACCTACTGCTGGCTCTCGGCATGGTGGCCTGCTCCCAACATGCCACAGTGAAAAGGAGAACAGGGACATAGCTGGAGGTAGAACAGATACAGAAATGAAGGATGCAGGCCTAAACTTGGGCAGTGCTGCGGTGCACTAAAAAGGATATATCTCTCATAAATGGTACGTGCCCTGTCCACCTCCTTGTATCTGAGCTCGAAGTTAATGTAGGAATGCCAAGCCTGCTCCTCTGGCTGCCACTCCATCCAGCGTTCAAACACCTGACGTGACCCAGCAATGTTCCCCAACATCTCTTCCATGTACGTATACTTGTACCTTAGAAAACAAGATCCAGTTTTTACAATCGCACAGTAAACACACAAATTACAAGGATGTTGTTAGTGCTTGATAAGAGCATTACTGAGATTTCTTCACCTATTCCCCACTTGCACACCAGAAATGCCTGTAGACACAGCTGTGAGTGGCAGCATGCAGGCACACAAACACCCTCTCTCCCAATACTCTCACTAGTTGAAAAGTACAGAACCATTCCAAAATTTAAGCCTTCCTCCTTTCTTCAGACTAGCCTGAAGCCTTGGAGAAACAGAAACCAATGCACTGTTGCATGACACCAAACCAGAAGCTTGATCCATAGTCTCTGGGGCTGGAAGCAACGCTCTGCTCTCTACAAACATACCAGAACTGGTTCACCCTGGGAAGGGTGGTGATGGCTCGGTCCCAGATGTTTCGGGCATGATTAACCTGGCGGTTCTTCATCTCCATCTCTGCATACTTCAGCCACAGTGTGACATTTCTGTAGTCTACATCTAAAGCACGCTCGTAAATGGAACGGGCTCTGGAAAGCAAAGAGAAGTAAGCTGTGTCTGTAATGTGCCTCCAAGACTTTGATGGTGTTTGTCACTATGTGTCTTAAAACCTTTATAAGAGATATCTGCAGCTGTATCATAATTACCTCTGTATTTCTTTCAGGCTTTCCTCCCATTGTGCATATTTTATCCAGTTACTGATAACAGTCCTGTTTTTTCTTATGTTATCTTCAAAAGTCTGAGGAGAAAATGATTTAAGTAAGAAATCCCTCTGTGCAGACCAATCTTGTTATAAATGGCTTATGGAATATTACTGCAATTATTGGCATTAATTCCAAATGTCTTACACCCATACAGATGTAGTTACAGATCATACTCCAAACACTTCCTAAAAATTGCATACCAGAAGCTAGAAGTGTAGAGCATTATACAGAAAAGGACTAAACTCAAGTTCCTGCAACATGATACCTGAAATACTGATGGAATAACAATTGACAGCACTAACATCTTTTTTTTTTATAATCTCCTGCTTAATGATTCAACAGCAACATTTTATGGACAGATGCAATGCAGTTATTGCAGACAACCCTGAATATACTTGGCTGCTTCAGCAAAAGTTTGTTCACTCTGACCTGTATGTATCACTGCTCCGAATTTTTCTTTAGAGCAGGATACCTCCTTCTTATTCCCCAGGTTTAATATGCTGGCATCAAATGTGCCAGACAAATGTCACTGTCAGTGCAACAACGAGGGCATCTTCAGGCCTGCGCTTGACTACTGTCAGGATCAATGCTACTGGTGTTTAACGTGGTGTAACACAGTTAACATGCTGGCTCGTTACTGCCATTCGGGAGATGTAAAAAGGTGCTATCAGACATTGTTTCTGCAGTGCTGTGGTGCTGATCACTGGCTCTGGTTGCTCTCCATGGTGCCCGAGGGAGGTACACCCATGTCCAGCACAGCAAGGCCTGATGTGTTCACAAGGAGCCCTACCCACTGTGGTGAGGAGGGAACAACCACCCGCCCAGGACTGAGCACAGGGATGCTGGGCTGGGCCACGACAGTCCCCGGCTCTGAACACACATGTGTGTGCGTCAGGGAAGGTCAGCTCTGGTTCATGCTATCTGCACCTAAATGTTTCCATCACTCAGCAATTTCTTTACAACTCCCTGTTAAGGATGTGATTGCTTTGCTGATCCAGAACAGCACCTACCAAAGGAAAAAGCAGAATAAAACCATAGGTAAGTTTGCATAAGCAAAGTAATCCTCTCACATAAAGCAGAAGAAGCGATCCCTAAAATCTCTTACGCCAAACAGTCAAGTTTCAAGACAATTATCAAACATAATCACAATCAGTGTAGACAGTTGTGTACTAATACTGTAATTATACAGAACAGAAATAGCACTTGCAAACATAGTAATATAGACTGCCTCTTGTTCCAGTTACAACACAGTAGAAGTTTTAGTGTTTTATATGAGCACCAAGATTAGGGATTGTTCCTTTACCTTCCTTTTCCGGAGTTTATAGTCATTCAGCTCCTCAACATCTGTGATCTTCTGTTGGGGAGGTGGTGGGAGAAGCTCGAGCTCTCTCTCTTTTGCTTCTCTTAAGAGCTGCTCTGCTGTGATCTGAACTTCTGCAGGTGCTTTATTTTTCACCTGTGAAGTGAGAGGCCTCGATTCGCATTTCCTTCTATCAGAAAACTCGGACTGCCCCCGCCTTGACCCATTAACTCACTCCGGCGGGTGCCTGCGCTCGATGTGTACCGAGGACGG